CGACTGATTTAATCAATTATCTCAATTTGTCAAAGATAATATAAACTAATATTTACATGCCTTTATTTAAACACCTAGGAAAACATAGAAAACCTTTAATTCTTTATAATTTGCTAATTATAAAATATATTTATGTTTTATATGTAATTTGTTAATTAAAGATTTTAATTCAAATATTACATAAAGGAAAAGTCAGCGTTGGTCCTTCTACCAATATTTTATATAAATAATGAACAAACATAACGAATTTAGTTATTTAAAATACTCTTTTACAGCCGTTCGGCACACATATTTATAATGCTCTCCATCGTTTCCCGGATGAAAATGCGCACATTTACGATTCTTGTTTGCCATTCGGCATCAACTCAAACAGCGAATTATAAAATCGTGGTGATACTGGAAGCAAACTCTCCACGCTCATAATGTAATGTACTCGTAACTGAAGAGCAACCAAGAGAAACGGAAACACTCGCATGCTAGGCACCATATTTGAGTATCGAAATTTTTAATTTTACAAAGTGTTTCTAACAAATAAATAAACAATAAGTGAATTAAACAAAAAATTGCAGTATTGTTTACATACAAACAATTTTTTCCCAACAAAACTTTGTGATAAATTCACTCGTATGCTAAAATATAACAGCAGTGATTCCGGAAATGCGGACTTTGTAAAATAATTCGCCGACCTTTTCACCCAAATTTACTTTCAACTGCTGAGAGATATTTCTGTGAATTTTCATTTGTTTAACGCATTTACACTTTATTTACAACGCTGTAAATAGAAAAGCTTCCACGGCAAACAAAAGAAGTGAAATAATACCGATACAGCATCTTTGTATCTTACCACATTGCTCTCACACTACAAATATCATCCCAGCCTCCAGCATATTGTACAAATTTTAAATACTCCAGCATGTTTTTTCAATTAAAAGAATCGCCCAGTCTCGCTTGAAAAAAATGTTTTAATAAAAGCAGCGAAGCGAGTAACCAACCCTCAATGGCTGGAATCGAATTAATTGGTATTTTACGGACAATTTTACAGTTTGAATTGTCTGCCTCTCGCTTATTATTTTCTTCGGCGGGCGTCGCGTTAATTAAAACTGATAACGATACAACTGGAGGACGCGCCGTTTTTCTGAAGCGCGTCGTGGCTTTCAAAGCGTCTGTAAAGTTAATTAAATGTTTTCTTTGTTTAAGTTTAATATTGAACGTGCCATCGGATGGTATAAAGACAACAAAACTGTTTTCAATCTAGCAGTCCTCTAACCAACAAAGAAATGATGTTCAGTTTATATTATTTTTAAACAAATAATAAATACATTTTCGACCATATCAATATTTTATTTAATAATAACTTTTTGTCGTTTTCAAATAATATTAATGATAAAATTAATAATTAACATAAAATATGTAACTGTGACCAATTAAACAAATTCAATCACATTGAATTGATTCTGATATCCCTGACAATAACCCCCGCCATTGCACTGACGATTGATTTAAATTTATATAACAAACAATACATAACTAAAACAATGTCCGATGTCCAGTTGGATAGGCCGGATTCGATTGTAATAACGCCCTTAATGGACGCACGAACAATAATTTCGCGCGTCCATCGACGGCGGCATTTTGATGCAAATTGCGATTGAATACACGGACGTGGCGAACGTTGTTTAATTTGAATATGGCACTCATATACACACCTTCACCATCTCCACAAACGCGCGTGGATAATGTGTGAGAGGGTACGCCATGAGAAACCCTGTGGCATAATTATACAATAAATTGAATATTTATAGTTCATTGAATTTACTGCGTGTTTATCGACGTTTATGCATAAATCTGTTGAATTCACTTTTCCTCCCGTCGTGCCTGTATACGTATCCTGAATGTGCATTGGCTTTGATCAGTTTCCGGGCGTGAATTTTATCTGCATGCAAATTTTTGCATTGTTCCAAACTCGATTGTGTTCGGCGCGTCATGTTTTTGCACACTGCATGACTCATCTTGCAGTCCAAGTTAATAGCTTTTGTAGCGTTCGTGTCCGGTATAAACGCGCGGGGTGTTTAAACAATTCCTCACAGGCTGACAGAATGATTGCACCACAACGAACATGCGCACCGTGCAATGCTGTCCGATTTCTGCTGCAATCCATATTAATGACTACTATCCATAAATACACGTTTATTGGGAAAGCTCCGCGCAAGGAAAACCCTTTCTTTCGTCAGATCAGCAATGGCAATTGTTTCCGGTTAGGGGAGTATTATCTTATTGCGCTGCGTGGTCTTATCTTTCGTGTTGTTTGATTGGCATCGTTTTGATGGGTCACAAATTGGTTTCGGTTAAGGGTTAGACCCGGAAGAGAGCGTGCCGCATTCAACGTCTTCCTGAATTCGTCGTGCGTTATTTCCCTCGATGGGAAGGCAAGACTCTATTAATCCAGCAAACCAGAAAACGATACATGTGAGTTTTTATACTGGCAGTGTACAAAAACAACAAAACCATTAAAATATATAACTTAAGCTATGATTGGCAGATTTATTGACAGTTACAAATGGTGTCAAGTAACTGATTGTATTGATTTGTAACAGAGAGTAAAAATAAACGTTAATTTGAAGAGTAAATGTATATTTGGGATGGAACGTAATTTATTGGATTAATACCATAGACAAAATGAAAATGCAATCGTGGCGAGCAACGACTACCGGTTGTGTGGTTCACGTCTCGCGATTTCCAGTCTGGCACGCCGCCGCCGCCGCCGCCACTACCGAGGCAGGCATCAGCGGTGTATTTCACCGTACGTAAACTGCAGTTTGAGTGACGGTTTGCTCGCGTGTTGTCAGCCCCGCCGCAGTCTGACATCTGGACTACCCGACCGCGTGGCGGCGGCGGCGGGTGATGCTCTCCCGCTTTTCACCTTCGCCGTCGACTAGCATGGCAACACTCCACGACGCATCCGCGCCATCCACGTCAAACCGATTGCAACGCCCAAGTTGAACAAATACTGCATTGCACCCCATCGGTATGACGGCAGTCATACGCTTTTCATACTCGATATAATCCACAATCTGAAACATCAACCAGTCCACCCCACTTCCAAATCCTCAGCGTAACAGAGGTGGGTTCAATGCAAAAAAACCGATTTGAATTTTATTTGATTTTAATGTTTTAAAAACGTAAAAGTCGTCTACTGCAAAAAATTGCTGCATTGCTGTATTGCATGGCTGCAGGTGAGTGCAACCCCAACGGTATGGTGAGTGGATAATCGAGGTTATTCATAAAAAAACGCATTGCTTCACCGCCGACGCGCCACGCTGGTATTCGATGCAGAAAAGCGTCATGAATAATTACGGTTTAGTGTTATTACGAGCGCATACGCTCGCGCATCTATTATTTACGACCCTGAAGAAAGGCATTTATGCGTTAAATTCTTGATGCGTCGAGGCGCGCCGACAATTATAAAACATAGGCGGCCCTCAGTCGGCGAAAGATAACGATAACAATAACCGTAACTATACGCAACATTCCCGGCTTCACCACCCACCATTATTCGCTTTCTACACCACTACTTGCTAACTTTTTTTCTGTGTTTTTATTTGCTGAAAATCGAAAAAAAAAATTTCTTTTTTATAAAGTAGCTTGTATAGCCAGCAATATTAATATAATATTAATTTGTTAGTACTTATATTAACTTCTGCATTAAATTTTGATTGAGTATCGACCATGTTTTCCGCGTTCATTATTGTTGCGTTCTTTACTAAGCAAAAAATAAATTGCAAACTGTGTGCAAAAGTGTTTCGTTGCTGTTTACTTAGTTGATGAGCACGCGGCATAGATTAAAATCGTTTGAATGCCTTTCCCGTTTGCATTCGCAAGCGGAACTGAATACGAACACACTCGACACGAAAGCTCGAAGCAGGAAAAGCGTCGAGAACGCAATCGAGCAGAATTTTCCTGGATACAAGCAAAATTTACAAAACGATGCAAAATCAAACCGCGCGTCTGCTTAAAACTCTCTTCAAAACTAATCAACGTTTCACTCTGCGATTATTCTCTACGCTCCTGTATAAATCTGCAATATTCGCGACTGTCAGATGGAGTTCAAGCACTCTTCAAACAAAAGCAAAGATTTATTGTTGGCACAACGAACTCCACGGATAATTATTTAGACTATTAATTAAATTGCCATGTTGGTATCCAATATGAAACTCAGGAATCTTAATTTTCTATCTGTTAGATCGTTAAATTCTTTGTACAGGTTGCACGGTTATTCGATTAAATGAACAATTTAATTAAACGACAATTGCGTACATAATTATATTGACATAACAGGCCACGCTAACGTCTGATCCTCGAATGCATCCTAGTCTTCTCATCTTCACGTGTACGTTCAGCACTAATAAGATTTAATTCCAAATTCCAATTTTACTACAATGCGAAGGGTGAGAGACGCACAAACTGCGTTTCCGTGTAAATTCACCGCATAATGAAACTGTTGAGGAGGTAGAGGAGATGTCGAGGTGAGTATCTTAGGAAGACAAAACCGAAAACCAAAAGGGAAATAATCTACGATCCACATGACAATGGGGCACGCGAAAACCTACAGCATCTCGCGGTTGACTCACGATTCGCCAAGGACTTGTGTATATTTAATTCGGGGACGATAGAAGCATCGGGCGTATTCAAATGGAGCCCTGACGCTTAAATTATGCGCTCCGATGGTCTTAATGCGAAAGCATTGTTTGTTGCGTATTCTTAGGACCAAATCATGTCATTGTTGAAATCTACCAGATGCGGAATGTATCAAATGTGATTCTGTATCCAGTCTAGTCGAAATTCAACTTAGGGTTCAAAAATTTTCAACGGAGTAAGATTATTTCCTCATAATACAAACATTTACATGTTTTCCCATAAATGTGTCTTTCTTAATGTTGTACCCAAACACTGTTATCATTCTGTAAATTGATAACGTTTTGCATATTTTTATGCTCCATTTTCGTTCAGACTTCATCAGTATTATCAGCAATGCAGTGCGTTAACTATTTATTTTTAGTTTTAATACTTACTCCAATCTTGTCGACGTTTAGTGCAAAAATACTCGGATTGTTTCTGTATCCAAGCAGACAACATGCTCTTTTGGGTACAGCCCTCTTTGCGGAGCTCTCTGCGAAAGGTCATGAGGTGACAATGATCAGCACGTTTGAGCAGCCGATGGTTCAGAAAAAGTTTCGGCACGTGCTTGTAGATGGCACGCAAATACGCCAAAAATACTCACCATCCTTAATGTCCCTGAACGTGAGTATGTGGGAGCACATCGTGTTCAGCAATTCGGAAATGAAATATATGATCGCCGAGTTGCTGGAGGATAGCAGCCTGCGGGAGTTCCTCGATGCTGGAGAGAAATACGACGTTGTCGTGTCCGAGTTGTTCGCCGAAGCGCTGCTTGGAATAAGTCATCGTGTGAACGCGACGACCGTCTCTTTCAACCCCACCGGTGGTTCCTACGAGCTCGATTATTTATCGGGAAACTCGCATCCGTACTCTTATGTGCCCAATGCGTTTACTGCCTACTCGGATGAGATGACCTTCTGGCAGCGTTTTGCCAATACCTACGTTAACCTATTCTGTGCGTTTTCTAAGCATTTCTTTAACCTACCGATGCAGAGAAGTCTATTGAAATACTACTTCCCGGATGCACCGCCATTGGAGGATCTTATGAACAGCGTGGAATTGCATCTGGTTAATTCCTATTATTTGTTTGAAACGCCACGACCATATCTTCCGAATGTGGTGCAAATCGGTGGATTCCACTTGCAAAAGCCCGAATTACTCACGGTGGAGCTGCTCAAGCAGTTGGACGAGCTCAAGAACGGCATAATCCTCTTTACCGTCGGCTCCCATCGGAAGTTGAGCGACTTCCCGGTGCAGATCGTCGAAACGTTGTTCGCCAGCTTCTCAAAATCCTCGCACAATGTGCTCGTTCAGTACGAGGGCCCACCACCGAGCAATCTGCCTGCCAACGTACGTTTGATGCCATGGCTGCCGCAGCGCGCTGTCTTATCGCATCCGAACACGAAGCTCTTCATAACGCCCGGCGGGCGGTCCAGCGTCGTCGAGGCGATCTACTTTGCCGTGCCGATGGTCGGGCTGCATGCGCCTGGCGATGACGATTCTCAGCTCAGCATGATGGCTAATCGCGGCTTCGGAGTTTGCTTCCGGCTGGACGAGGAGTTGCGCGAAGAACAACTCAGCGGGGCAATACGCAATGTGGTTGCGGATCCGGTGTACAAGCGAGCGATTATGCTCGAATCGGAGCTGTTCAAGAGGCAGGAGATGAGTCCGCTGGATAAGGCTGTCTACTGGGTCGAGCACGTCGCCAAGCACAAGGGCGCTAAGCGCGTCAAGTCTCAACCTGCCGCCGCCATGCCGCTCTACAAGTACGTCCTGCTCGATGTCGTCGTCGCATCGGCGGCGTTGCTTGTTATGTTTGCTTTTATCTCGCTCTGGTTGTGCAAACAGACGTATCGAGTACTGATAAGGAGGCGACAAACTGAACCTGTGAAACACAAAATTGTTTAATAAAATAGTAAAAATAATTTTATGCAAGAAGATAAAAATAATCAAAAAATGCTTATCCTATTTCGATTATCGTTCAACAGCTTCTAATCTCTAACAAAAATGCAATCAATTTCATTGATAAATGAATCTAGCTACTAGAATAGAACCTAGCTGCAGCAATTAAATTATTACCCAACATGCGTTTACTACGTGTTTTCAAAGTCTTATTGAGTTTGCTGCTTTTTGTGTCCCAAAATGCAGCATCAAAAATATTGGGCATTTTTCCAATGCCTTCCAAAAGTCACACTATTCTTGGAACCGCCCTTCTGAAGGAACTTGCATTGAGAGGTCATCAAGTCACCATGTTAAGCCCATTTCTAATGGATAACTTACCTGCAAAATACACACAAGTGCATTGGGATTACCTACAAAAAGATAACGAAGCAATGAAAACGTTTTCCAATCCAAATCTATCCGGATTTGCAAAACTAAAGATCGCTGTTGATGGTATTCCAAAATTTGTTGATAACATCCACAACAATACAAATATAAAAACATTTTTGGATTCAAATGAAAAATTTGACTTGTGCATATATCTCCTTGGAGTAACCGATTCATTTCTTGGAATCTGTCATCATGTTAACGCAACGATTATTGGTTTCAACACGGTTGGAATGAATATTTTTATAGGCCAAATGACTATGAATCCAACACCATATTCATACGTGCCGAATATTTATTTACCTTTTACTGATAATATGAATTTCTTGCAACGAGTTGGGAATACTATTGCTTGGACGGTATCAGCCGGAATTTTGAATATAATGAATGCGCCTTTGCAGCAATATTTGTTGAGTAAGTATTATCCCAATGCTCCACCATTAGACGAACTGTTGGAAAGCGTTGATTTAATTCTTGCAAATTCAAACTATGCTACTGATACTCTGGTGCCACTACTTCCAAATATTATACCCATTGGTGGATTCCACTTGGAAGAAAAAGTTGAGATATCAGCAGGGTTACAATCATATTTGGATAATTCTAAAAATGGAATTATTTACTTTAATTTGGGGACAAATGCTAAAGGTAAATTTATTCAGCCTGAAACACTACAACATCTTATAAACACTTTTGCAAAATTACCATATGATATTCTCTGGAAGTACGAGGACGAAATGAGCAATATTCCTAAAAATATCAAGCTAGAAAAATGGTTACCTCAACGTCAAATACTAATGCATTCAAATGTTAAACTTTTTATAACTCACGGGGGTAATGGTGGTACAATTGAGGCTATTTATGGTGGTGTTCCTATGATTTGCATGCCACACTATGGAGATCAACCCAAAAATTGTGCAGGAAGTGTAGGAAATGGGTATGCTATACATGTTGATATTTCTACGATGACTGAAGAAATATTAACCAAAGCAATTAATGAATTGCTCAGTAATCACAAGTATAAGGAATCAATCATGTTACATTCCGATGTGTACCGCAATCAAGCAATAAATCCAATGGATCGGGCTGTATTTTGGATTGAACATGTAATTCGACACAAAGGTGCGAAACACTTAAAATCACAAGCGGCTCAACTTTCGTGGTATCAAAGAAATTTAATTGATGTTTTTGCCTTTTTTGGTTGTGTATTAATTATTAGTTTAGCTAGTATTTATTTCAGCATTAAATATTGTTTAAAATTAATGTACAACAAAATATTTTCTTCCCAAATTAAGAAACAAAAGATGGCATGAGCAATTCAATTTGCTGTTGATATAATTTTAAGTTTAAATTGAAACCATTTTGAGTTAATTTATAGCAATTTAATAAGTATTATCATGGTGATCAGGCAACATTTTATTCTAAAATCATTTAAATCAATATTTTTGTCATGACCTTTTATTTAAATATCCTGTTATAAATTTACAATATGTATTTATTTATTAACAAAATATACAATAGTAAACAATTGTAATTATTTCTGTATATGAAGTTGAAAAATAAAGGCGGAACATTTAGCAATACCTATATTAAAGCTTATGGAAATTTGTGAAAGTCATTGACTTATAATCAAAATTTTTATTATTTTATTTTGAAACCAATAACATTTATAAATATTCAAGCTATCAAACGTTATCTGCATATTAAGGCAAAATGTGTAGTACCATAACAATCATTTTATATATTCAAAAAACAATCAGTCACATTACATTATTATTCGATCCAAAATGCTGTCGACCGTTTTGTCAACGTATTTTTTACTTTGTGCTTTTCAAACACTTTCAGAATGTGCCAATATTTTAGGAATTTTTCCAATACCAAGCAGAAGTCATGCTATCTTGGGTCATAAACTTTTGAGAGGATTTGCCGAACACGGACATAATGTTACAATGTTGACTTTCTTTCCAGAGAGTAAACCTCATGAAAATTTTAAAACAATTCTCATGGACATAGAAAAACCTCGCCACGTCTACGAATCCAATATTATTAAGAAACCTTGGTTTACAATGAAAGTAATTCAAATGTTTGGTACATTGGGCAAAATTAGCGAAGTTGTGTATGAAGACAAACAAGTACAGAAACTGATCAATTCAAATAACTCATTTGATGCTGTTATCTACTTTCAATGTACAGCGGATTCTTTGCTGGGATTTTCACACAAATTTAACGCAAGTTCCATCATGTTCAGTGTATTGGGTTCTTCACAGATGTCATCGTATTCATTTGGGCATTCGCTCCCAAGTGCTTACGTGCCGAATGTGTGGTTGGGTTACAACGATGAAATGACACTCTGGCAACGTTTCCATAATTGGATCAGTAATATAGTTGGTGACTTGTATCTTAATACATATCATACACATCAACAACGTAGATTACTCAGAGAAAACTTTCCGCAATCACCATCTTTGGATGAACTACGTGAGAATGTTGAATTGGAACTTGTGAATTCACATATTGCTATTGATACGATAAGACCTACGCATCAGAATATGATTGACATCGGCGGTTATTACATGGGAAATCGTGAATATATTTCAGAAGATATTAAAGAACTTTTGGATCAATCTAAAAATGGTGTAATTCTATTAAGTTTTGGAACAAATTTAAATAGGTCCAATATGAGTCCCCAACTGATCAACGCTTTTTTGGATTATTTTAAAAGATCCAAATATGATGTTCTCTGGAAATTTGACGTAAACTTTGTTAATAACACTAAAAATATGAAAATTGTTAATTGGTTACCACAAAGAGAAGTATTATCACATTCTAGCGTAAAACTATTTATAACACATGGAGGCAAAGGTAGTATCAATGAAGCAGTCTATCATGGGGTACCAATGATTGTGTTGCCGTTTTATGCTGACCAACATGCAAACGCTGAATATTGTGTGAAAAATAGAATAGGAATTAAACTGGATGTTGCATACGTAAATAGTGATATTCTTGAAAATGCTATTCAGAGAATTGAACAAGAACCACATTTTAAAAATAATATACAAGTACGTTCAAATTTATTTAAGAATCAAGAAATTAATCCAATGAAAAAGGCTATTTTCTGGACAGAAGCTGTAATTAATAGTAAAGGATATGAATTGTTTAGGTCATCTTCACAAAAACTTACTTGGTACCAAAAGATATGTTTGGATTTATTTATTTTGGCATTTTGTATTCTTGCAATATTTGTTGTATTAATTTGGATTGTATTGAAGTATTTCTTTTATTTGTTTAAAAAAATGTTATCCCTGAATACCAAATCAAAAATAATGTAAATATATTTTTTGCCAGATTTAAACTAAATATATACCTACTAAATATAATGATTAATGATTTTAAATTTCAAACAAATCAAATTTTGGGAATTTTGAATGAATAATATATTCTAGACTAGTGTCAAGCTTTTTACGTATTTAGTAAAATAACTTTTATAATTACGTGTTTATATTAGATTTATTGCTCAAGCTAACACGTACTTCAACGTCTACGACGTATTTCGTTTACTTCCGTCCTTGCATTGAATGGTTTATCTTTAAAAACAGTAAAAACGTTAAAAAGGTATTTTATATATTATTACAATTATTAATATACAGCTAGGATTTATTGAAATATTCTATTCTTTCTGATAATTAACGTTTGAAATTTAAATTTTCATGTAATCAAATTTAATATTTGTTTTCACCTGAAAACTAATTCAATATTTAAAAACTCTGTGTTTTTAAGCGGAACTAAAATAATTTAGTACTTATGGTATATTTTTAATATTAGATAAACACTTGATAATACAAATTTTTTATTGAACAATAAGGACACATTTTGACAAGTTTCCAGTAAAGGAATTATTTTATGTCCTAGGTAATTATTTCAGTTATAAAATAAATAATTATTTGGGTTTGACACTAATTATTTGCCTTGAAATATTAGTGGCGTTTTCCACTACTAAAAATGTATTGAATCATCAAATACGCTAAATAAATTATTGTACCCGGTAAAAGTTTGCACTCTTTTAAAATCATTGGCACACCATCGTTCAACACACTTGTTCAATATAGAATTCAAAATATAAACATGCGACAATTTCAACTATTTCAACTCGTTCTTCTTTGCATCACAATAAACACAGTGCAATGTGCGAACATTTTAGGAGTATATCCATTTCCGAGCAAATCTCACTGCATTCTAGGACATGCACTTCTAAAAGGATTGGTACAACGTGGACACAATGTGACGATGTTAACAACATATCCTATGGAAAAATCCAGTGAGAATTATACAGAGTTGCTAATGGATGTAAATCTGACCAAGAAAGCTTATGAGCGGGTAATTTCCAACCGTGCCTGGTACAAACCAATTATTGTAAATACCTATAGTGCATTTACAATGATATCGAAAGCGTTGTTTCAAGATCCAGTTGTTCAGCAATTAATCAACTCCACGGACAGTTACGATGTTGTTATTTATTCACATTTAACTCAATTTGCTTTGTTGGGATTATCACACACATTCAATGCATCATCGGTTTTATTCAGTGTGATATCAGCTAATCACATGTTGGCGCACACCATGAACCTACCACAACCAGCGTCTTACGTTCCTAATCTATTTTGCCCTTATGGTGAGACAATGACGTTCTTTCAAAGAATGCATAACTTGGTAATCAATATAGTTGGTTATTTACACCTGAGATTTGTGAATGAGCCAGTAGAAAGGAAACTTTTGGAAGATAACTTTCCTGGAGCACCATCATTGGATGAACTGGTAGGAAACATTCAACTTGTCTTAATAAACTCACATATTACGCTGGATCCTATAAGACCCATCTTTCAAAATACCATCAGTATAGGAGGTTATTACATGGATGACAGGAAGCCTTTGAGTGAAGATGTACAAACATTTTTGGATTCATCAGAACGAGGTGTTATTTATTTCAGTTTTGGTTCAAATGTTAAATATAAACATTTGCCTAAGGATATGGTGAGAAAGTTTATAGCTGCTTTTGAACAAATGCCTTATGATGTTCTTTGGAAAATTGATGTATTTCCTCCTAACATACCATCAAATGTAAAAATTGTTACTTGGGTGTCACAGTTATCCGTTTTGGTACATCCAAATGTGAAAATGTTTATTGCTCATGGTGGGAAAGGTGGCATGAATGAAGCTATCTACTTTGGAGTACCAACTTTATTCTTTCCATTCTACGCGGATCAACAAATGAATGCCAAAGATGCCGTTGCGGCTGGAATTGCTTTAGAACTTGATTTGAATGATTTTACGGAAAATGATCTTATTGCTTCTGCTAATGAATTGATTAGGAACCCGTTCTATAAGAAAAATATAATGCAAAGATCTGATTTGATCAGGAATCAAGGTATGCATCCGTTGGATAAAGCAGAATATTGGATTAATTATGTAGCCAAGAATCCCAATTCAAAATTTATGCAATCTCGGGCAACTAAAATGCCGTGGTATCAAGTTATAATGCTCGATTTATTTGCGGTCTTATTTATCTGTTTCATTTTCATAGGAATTTGTTTATATTTTATATGTTGTAGTGTTATTAGATTTATTATGCAAGGAAATAAGTTTAAGAGAGACTAAAATATAATTCGTATGTAATCATTAGTTTGTACTCAATATTTTACATTGTTGTACATGATCATTAATAAATTATGTTCCATTGAAAACTTAAATAAATTGTACTATTATGCAGACAAGGATTTCTCCATATTTGTATTGGTTCAACATTATTTTTATTTTTAGTTGCTTCCTCACCAAAAAAACGATAAAAATCAATTTGTTTATAATGTATATACTGTAAGCAAGGAATTAATTTAGTACTGTTGATAGCCAGATATTCTAATGTGAGCAAATTGTGCAAGTCCAAGATTTAGTTGCAATAATTTAATTAAGTTCTATTTTATGAATGGAATCACATGGCACATATTAATTTCTGCTACTACATTTTATTGATATACAGTTATAAATACATCTTTGTAGTAAACGCTCACTAATTTGCAAATATTAGATGAAGGTCAATTCATACAAAAACATGCTGACTTTGAAAATTGTTGAATTACGCAGTATGTCAAGTTTGAATCAATTATCTTGCAACTCGTGTACGAGATTAAAAATGTGCTCACACTCCAAACGTAATTATTACCACTATTACCAAACAAACGTATCTTATCTCGTGTAAGTATTGGCGTCCAGAGAGCAAACGCATTGAATACGTGCGGTTTAATATTTATACATGGGCTGTGATGTAAGATTTCATTGCCACACATTTCATCACATGCTGTGATGACTGTCAGTAGCGGTTTAATTCGTTACGATTAGTTTACATTTAAATTCCACTGGTGTTCAAAATGAGGTTGTTAAGTGTTTTATTTCTAAGTGTTGCCATTTTTGGCATTTGTGATGGATCCAAAATTTTGGGAATATTCCCAATGCCCAGCAAAAGTCATTATATACTTGGCGAGGCGTTATTACGAGGTTTGGCGGCAAAAGGACATCAGGTGACTATGATCAGTCCATATACATTGGACAAGCCTATGAAGAACTACAAAGATGTTGTTATCGATGGAATGGTGGAATTGAAGGACGCGAATGCTCACAGGTTTACAAGTTTAAACACAACGATCTTGGAGAAAGCAAACTTGATGTTTGAGTTGTTCCCAGCTATTTACCACACTGCTCACAACAGCACCAATGTTCGTGAGTTTGTCAAAAAAGGTGAAAAATACGACCTGTGTGTTGTGTCGTTCATGATGATGGAATCTATGTTTGGACTTTGCAACGCCGTCCAAGCTACTCCAGTAGGATTCAGTATTGTAGGAATGACATCGTTCCTCAGCTATCATACCAACAACCCCGTGCCATTTTCATACGTGCCTACCCGTTTTTGAGTATAACGGATCAAATGACTTTCATGGAGAGAGTCAAAAATGTCCTCACGTCTTACTTTTTTGAAGGCCTGACGCATTTTGTGTTAATGCCGTACCATCAAAGGTTACTTAGTACATATTACCCCGAGGCACCTAAAATTGAAGAACTAATGGACAATGTGGATCTGTACCTGATGAATTCTCACACCTCGACTGATTCGCCAAAACCTGTATTACCAAATATTATACCAATTGGAGGTTACCATTTGCAAATAATGGATGAAATTCCTAAAAATATAAAGAAAGTATTAGACGAGTCCAAAAGAGGTGTAATTTACTTCAACATGGGTAGTAATGCCAAAAGTGCTGATTTGGACCCTGAAATTAGAAACGCAATACTAAACACATTCTCTAAAGTTGACTATGATGTGGTTTGGAAATTTGAGGCTGATCTACCAAACAAACCCAAAAACGTTCACATTGCCAAATGGTTACCCCAGCGCCCCATTTTGATGCACCCTAATGTCAAAATGTTTATGACTCATGGTGGGCTTGGTGGTACAGTGGAAGCAATTTATGGTGGTGTACCAATGATCTGTATGCCTATGTTTGGAGACCAGGGTAAAAACTGCGCGGAAAGCGCGAAGAACCAATATGCAATTGTTGTAGAACTGTTAGGATTAACAGAAGACAAACTTAAAAATGCCATCAAGGAAATTGCCAACAATCCAGTGTACAAAGAGCAAATTAAGTTAAAATCTGATCTTTATCGGAACCAAGAAATCAATCCTATGGACAAAGCTGTGTATTGGGTAGAACATGTTATCCGACATAAAGGTGCCAAGCATTTGAAATCTAATGCAACTAATATTCCCTGGTATCAGTACTATTTGTTAGATGTTTCTAGTTTTCTTGCTGGTATTGCACTTCTTATTCTTGCTATTGTGTATTTTATCATTAAACTTAATTTGAGAGTATTATGTTGGATTATAAGGAAGATTACAGGAAAAGGAAAATGTGCTAAAATTGATAAAAAACAAAAAATTAAAAAACAATAAACAATGTAAATGATTCTATAAATGTAAAATGGGGATTTATAAATAAATAAATGTAAATTATGAATATATTATCTTTTAATACATCCGGTTACCTAGATCTGTGTGTTGTCAACGACTCAGGGGAAAGAAAATCTTTAAAACCGCTTCATTTAGTGTACTTATGAGAATCATTTGGTCAATACTTACTAAAGTACTTACAATACAATACTTCAACTGGTTGATATGCATTTCCAAGTCAATTATCTACACAATTACCAAACATAATGTATCTTATCTCATCAGCAATAGAGTCCAGAGAGTAAACATGTATAATGCTAACAGTTAAATATTTATATATACGCAATGATGTAGCATTTTTTTATTGCCGCACATTTCATCATATGCAATGATGACTTGCATTAGTTGTTCAACTTATTTCAGTTAGTTTAGATGTTAATTCCATTGGTATTCACAATGAAGTTGTTAAGTGTTTTATTGTTAAGCGTAACAATTTTAGACATATGTCATGGATCCAAAATATTGGCTATATTCGCAACGCCTTGCAAAAGCCATTATATACTTGGGGAAGCGTTACTTCGAGGTTTGGTGACAAAAGGGCATGAGGTGACTATGATCAGTCCATATACATTAGAAAAACCGATGAAGAACTACAATCATGTCGTAATCAATGGAATGGTGGATTTGAAAGAAAAGTATTCTCCAATGTTTACTAATTTAAACATATCGATCTTGGAAAAAGCAAAGTTAATGTATGAAATATTCCCAGCTATTAACCACATAGCTCACAGCAGCTCTAATGTTCGCGAGTTTGTCAGGAAAGGGGAAAAATACGATCTGTGTATTGTATCCTTCATATTGATGGAATCTATATTTGGAATTTGTAATATGGTACAAGCTCCAGCAATAGGATTCAGCGTTATAGGAATGTCTTCATATCTCAGCTATCATACCAACAACCCTGTGCCATTTTCATACGTGCCTACTCCATTTTTGAGTATAACGGATCAAATGACTGTCATGGAGAGAGTCAAAAATGTCCTCACCTCTTACTTCTTTGAAGGACTGACGCATTTCGTGTTGATGCCGTACCATCAAAAATTGCTGAATACATATTACCCACAGTTACCTAAAATAGAAAAATTAATGGACAATGTGGATCTTTATCTGATGAATTCTCACACGTCGACTGATTCACCTAAACCTTTACTACCAAATATTATTCCAATAGGAGGCTTCCACTTGCAAATTATGGACGAAATTCCGAAAGACATTAAAAAAGTACTAGACGAGTCGAAACAGGGTGTTATCTACTTCAATATGGGTAGTAATGCCAAAAGCACTGACTTGGATCCTGAAATTAAAAAGGTACTACTAAACACATTCTCCAAACTTGACTATGATGTGGTTTGGAAATTTGAAGCAGATCTACCAAACAAACCCAACAACGTTCACATTGCAAAATGGTTACCTCAACGACCTATTTTGATGCACCCCAGTGTCAAAATCTTTATGACTCATGGAGGACTTGGCGGAACAGTAGAAGCAATTCACGGTGGAGTACCAATGATCTGTATGCCAGTGTTTGGAGATCAGGGTAAGAACTGCGCAGATAGTGCCCAAAATCAGTATGCAGTAGTTGTGGAACTAATGGGACTCACAGAAGAAAAACTATTAAATGCCATCAAAGAAGTAGCCACTAATCCAGTGTACAAAGAGAAGATTATGTTAAAATCTGATTTATATAGAAAACAAGAGGTCAATCCAATGGACAAAGCTGTATTTTGGGTGGAGCATGTTATTCGGCATAAAGGTGCCAAGCATTTAAAATCTAATGCAACTAATATTCCTTGGTATCAATATTATTTGTTAGATGTAATCAGTTTCCTCGCCGGCGTGTTACTGCTTGTACTGAGCATTGTGTATTTTATTATTAAGCTTAACTTCAAAATATTAAGTTGGTTGATAAAGAAAGTTACAGACCAAAGAAACTGTTCTAGAAATGAATTAAAACAAAAATATAAAAAGCTATAATTGTATTGTTCAAATTAATCAATAAGAAAATAACATATTAATATATAATTTTTTTTTGTAAATTCTACATCAATTCTAGATACAATAAAATTTTTCTTTATCTTGATTCAAAATTCATCTAATGACATGACGGAATTAAATCAATTAACTTCTATAGTTTGGTACGTGGATCATTCACATGGAAAAATCTCGATTATGAAACAAACATATCTTATCTTTTTTGTGCACTATGGTCGCCAATAGAGTAAACTGATGATAAGTAAGTATTCAGTTATATATTTAAACGCACAAACTCATATTTCACATTATATCACATCAAGTGATAGTATTAGTCAGTCTGTGTTATTAAATTTAGACCGCATAAATTACGAGTATAGTGAATAACAGTGTAGATTCAAAATGAAGTTGTTAAGTTTTTTGTGTCTAAGTATTGCACTTCTGGGCATCAGCAATGGATCAAAAATTCTGGGTATATTTCCATTTCCCAGCAAAAGCCACTATATCATTGGAGAAGCATTATTGAGGGGCCTAGCTGAAAGAGGACATGATGTGACAATGATCAGCCCATTTACTCTGGACAAACCCATAAAGAACTACCAAGATGTAGTTATAGATGGAATGTTGGAATTGAAAGAAGCAAGTAGTCCAATGTTTTCAAATATAAACTTATCTTTTATGGAGAGAATGAACATGATGATGAACATGTTTCCGGAAATCTACAGAATCGGTCACAACAGTACAAATGTTCGAAAATTTGTTGAAAAGGGTGAGAAATATGACCTGTGCATTGTGTCTTTTATGATGATGGAATCAATGTATGGAATTTGCCATGCTGTACAAGCTCCTAGCATTGCATTGAGTCTTGTGGGAATGACGCCATTTCTTGGCTATCACACCAATAATCCCACGCCATATTCATATGTGTCAAGTGCATTTTTGGATTCTGGTGACCAAATGAATTTCTTTGATCGAGTCAAGAACGTACTCTCTTCATACTTTTTTGATGGCCTGATGCATTTCTTTTTAATGCCGTATCAACAAAAATTGTTAGATCGATATTATCCAAATGCTCCCAAGATTGAAGAACTCATGGAAAATGTAGATCTTTATTTGATGAATGCCCATACATCCACTGATTCTCCTAAACCTTTGCTGCCCAATATTATACCTATTGGAGGATTCCATCTGGAAATTATGGACAAAATTCCAGAGGATATTCAAAAGTTTTTGGACAAGTCCAAAAGAGGTGTTGTTTACTTCAGTTTGGGCAGCAATGTCAAGAGCTCAGAATTAGATCCGGAAGTACAAAAAACTTTACTAAACACTTTCGCTAAGTTGGATTATGACGTTCTCTATAAATTTGAGAAAGATCTTCCAAACAAACCTAAAAACGTGCATACTGCTAAATGGCTACCACAACGACCAATTTTGCGACATCCCAATATTAAAATGTTTATTACTCATGGAGGACTTGGCGGAACAGTAGAAGCAATTTATGGTGGAATTCCAATGATCTGCATGCCTATATTTGGAGACCAGGCTAAAAACTGTGCTGAGAGCACCCAGAAAGGTTATGCACTAACTCTGGCACTAGCGGAAGTAACTGAGGAAAAGCTTACAAATGCTATAAATGAGATTGCTAACAATCCGACATACAAGCAACAAATAATGTTAAAATCGGACCTGTACCGAAATCAAGAAGTCAATCCAATGGACAAAGCAGCGTTTTGGGTGGAACACGTTATTAGACATAAAGGTGCAAAACATTTGAAATCGAGAGCTAGCAGTATTCCTTGGTATCAGTATTATTTGTTGGATGTAATTAGTTTTCTCTCTGCCATCCTTCTTCTTGTTCTTGGAATTGCGTACTTTATTATAAAACTTAACTTGAAAGCTCTTTGCTGGGTGATAAGGAAAGTGTGTGGCAAAGGCAAATGTAAGAAACCTGAAAAGAAGCAAACTGCTAAGAAACAAAAAGATAAGAAACAATAAAATACTTTTATTATTGTACATACTTATACATGCATTATTAAAAATACATTGTTATCAATATTACTTATGTATAGTTTATTATTTTGCAACCTAATCATGATAAAGCATTATGTAAGTGTTTAATTGTCACCTAGACGTATTTTCCATTCCTATCTTAAAAATACAATATGGTTACGCATACTTTTATCTCAAAACTAGTAAACAAGATTTTAATCGAAGATGACAAACATTTATTCAATCACTCGAATCAATTAAATATGTATTATAAAATTAATTTTGTTTCTTACCAGTCATAAACACTTTACCACTTATATTTTTTAAAAGCCACATAATAATTTAACAAAACATATCTGTAGTACCTTGTGACTAAACACATTAAGTTAAGCACTTGATCACAATTATCAAACACGTACATCTTAACTTTTTATGCTCTATCGTCATCAATATGTCAGACAGATTAGAAATCAACCTTGATATAATTCCACTCTACTTTTTAAACCACATATTATGTCAGTATGTGCGCGACACTATAAGTTAATAAACTTAAATATCATTGTTTCAGCATAAGCCTAAAATGAAGTTATTAATTGTTTTGTGGCTAAGTGTTACCATTTTGGGTATCTGCGATGGATCAAAAATTCTAGGCATATTTCCAGTACCTAGTAAAAGTCACTACATCATTGGAGAAGCATTACTCAGAGGTTTGGCCGAAAAAGGACACGATGTGACTATGATTAGCCCATACACTCTGGATAAGCCAATGAAAAACTACACAGATATAGTAGTCAATGAAGTATTGGAATTGAAAGAAGCTTATGGTCCACAGATGGCGGAATTTAACGCCACGTTTTTCCAAAAAGCAAACTTATCTTATCACCTTTTTCCTGCGATGAATCACGCAATTCACAACAGTTCAAACGTTCGTCAGTTTCTTAAAAAAGGAGAAAAATATGACCTTTGCATTGCGTCCTTCATAATTTCGGAAGCATCATTTGGAATATGCGACTCAGTACAAGCTCCTGCAATTGGAATGAGTCTGGTAGGAATGACACCATTTCTTAGTTATCATACTAATAATCCTACACCATATTCATATGTGCCTAATGGGTTTTTGGGATTAACTGATGAGATGAGTTTTTGGGACAGAGTAAAAAATGTGGCTTCTTCATATTTTATCGAAGCATTGATGCATTTCTTTTTATTACCGTATCAACAAAAGTTGTTAAATACATATTATCCTAATGCACCGACAATTGAAAAATTAATGGATAATGTTGACCTTTATTTAATGAATTCTCATACGTCTACTGATTTTCCTAAACCTTTACTACCAAATATAATTCCAATCGGAGGATTTCACGTACAAATCATGGATAAAATTCCTGAAGACATACAAAACTTTCTCGACAAGTCACAAAAGGGTGTGATTTACTTCAGTATGGGCAGTAATATTAAAGGCGCAGACCTTGATCAAGGAATTAGGAATACCGTACTAAATACTTTTGCTAAATTGGAATATGACGTCCTCTGGAAATTTGAAGAAGATCTTCCAAACAAACCTAAAAACGTTCATATTGCAAAATGGGTCCCACAACGCCCCATCCTAATGCATCCAAATGTTAAAATGTTTATAACTCATGGTGGACTTGGTGGAACAGTGGAAGCTATTCATGGTGGAGTTCCAATGATTTGTATGCCCATGTTTGGAGACCAACCAAAGAACTGTGCGGAGAGTGCTCAGAAGGGTTATGCTATAGTCGTGGATCTGTTGGGAATCACTGAAGAGAAGCTTACAAACGCTATCAAGGAGATTGGAACCAATCCAAGGTACAAGGAGAAAATAATGTTGAAATCTGATCTATATCGGAACCAAGAAATTAATCCAATGGATAAAGCTATATATTGGGTAGAGCATGTTATTAGGCATAAGGGTGCAAAACATTTGAAGTCAAGAGCTAGCAGTATTCCATGGTGTCAATATTATCTATTAGATGTAGCAGGTTTTCTACTGGCCATCTGTCTGATTGGATTATGCATTACTTACTTTATCATTAAACTAAATTTAAAAGTATTATGTTGGATGATGCAAAAAATTAGAGGCACGAAGAAATGTAAGAACTCTGGAAAACACAAAATTAAATCACAGTAATAAACATGTCAATATAAAACACTGTACACATGCAATACACACAATACATTTTAGGTTTAATGTGTTAATAATTCTCTGGTATTTTCCTTCACGTCATTTTAATGAATACTTGAACGTTGATGAAAAACTATGGTTTGAAATTAATGAACTGCATATTTCACTAAAAACCATATTAAATTAACGGCAAAAAGGCAGTAACTTGTCATTCCAAAAGTTAAAACAAGTCATACGTGTTCAGATATTTGTCCATAATGCGCAAATTGTATTTGCTGCTTGTAAGTTTGTGTTTATCACTATCAAAAATTGATTCTGCCAAAATTGTAGCCCTGGTTCCATTTCCATGCAAGAGTCATGCAATCTTGGGCAGCGCATTGCTGCGAGAATTGGCACGTCGCGGACACGAAGTGACCATGATAAGTTCGTTTCCTACAAAGGACAATATGAAAAACTACCGAGACATCTATGTCGATCCAACCGCTGCCCTGGACGCTCACACGGAGACGATCATCAAGGCACCCCGATTCCCGCTGCTCAAAGCAGTTGCTGCGCTTGAGTGCACCACCCGAGTAAGCGACGCTTTCCTATCCGATCCAAGCGTTAAACAGTTTCTCGCTGACGGCGAACGATTTGATTTGGTCGTGAGCCTCGGCAAAGAATCCCTTCTCGGCGTCGGGCATGCGTTGAACGCGTCGACGATTAGATTCAATATGCTTGGAATGCATTCGATTTACGCTGCGTTTACCATGAATCCATTGCCCTCAGCGTACGTGCCACACTTCCTGTTGCCGTACAGCGACGACATGAGCTTCTTCCAGCGCACGCTGAACACAATCATGAATTTGTTCTTTGACGTTTACATAAAATACGTGTGGATTCACACCGAAAATGCCGTCGTGCAGAAACATTTTCCAGGCGCACCGCACTTGACCGAACTGCAACGTGACGTCGATGTGACGTTCGTCAATTCTCACATGGCGATGGAGAATGTCCGCCCTCACATGCCGAATGTAATTCAAATAGGCGGGTTTCATCTGAAGGAAAAAGAAATTTTACCGAAAGACATAAAAACTTTCTTAGACAACGCCACTCAAGGTGTTATTCTGTTCAGCATGGGCTCTAGCATTCGAGCGGAAGTGTTGCAAGACAAATTAAACGAGGCGTTAAAGTGCTTTGCCACGTTGCCGTACCAAATCCTATGGAAGCACGACGAAGACGTGCCAGGACAACCGGACAATGTAAAAACGATAAAATGGCTGCCGCAGAAAGCCGTCCTGAGCCATCCAAATCTCAAGCTTTTTATTACGCACGCCGGCCTGGGCAGCGTGCTGGAGTCGCTTTATTATGCCGTACCGATGATCGCGCTGCCCATCTATCTAGATCAACACAAGAACGCGGCCCAGAGCGTCCGCAACGGGGTCGCAATTCAATTGGATGTGCAGACGCTGACCGCGGATAGATTGCTATGGGCAATTAGGGAGATGACCGCAAATCCGGCGTACGCCAACGAGATCGCTGTTAGATCAGCAGCATTCCGTCATCAGGAAGTCGATCCAATGCAGCGCGCCGTCTATTGGGTCGAACAAGTTATCAAGCATAAAAACGCCAATTACCTCAAGTGCATCGCCAAGGACATGCCCATGTTCCAGTACTATTTGCTCGACGTATTCGGCTTCATATTTTTATTTATTGCTGTTTTTATAGCTGCATTTAGTGTCATCGCTAAAAAGTTATGGCGCTGTTCGAGGGGAATCATAAAAAGAAAAGTTAAACAAACATAAAAATATTAAATTTATAACTTATAAAAAATTATCTTTATTGATTTAAAAAGTTATTACGCATATGCTCTTTGAGTAAATATTTTATTTTTAAAGTTAATAAAAGCCATACGAAAATCATTACTTGCATATTTCTTTAATGAAAAAAATTGAAACAATGGACGTTTATTCACAATAAAAAGAATGAACCAACAAACTTCCAGAGTGAAAATCACTTCGTCATTCAGCATTAAACTTCAAATAACTTTGCGTTTCATTATTAGTGAAATATGTTTTCGTCCCGGCGGGTCACGCGCAGTAGCTGAAGAACTTGACTTGGAAGATTTCGGCGTTTGATGATGGGGCACGAGATGCGACTCGTAGCCTTGTGAAAGTCTCATTAGTGTAGATGATTGATAGACAAAACCGAGATAAAGGAAACTGGAGTTTATGGTTCAACTCAACGCGGATTATATCTGCTGGGAGTTCATTAGAACAAATAAATTGTTTGTGAAAAATTAATCACAAAACATCAGCAAGTTGAAAAGTAGACATTCATTATGTTTGCGTCTGTGGGGGCCAGTGTTGATTAAATTCAAAAAATTAAAAAAAAATTGCGTTTTGCAAAGATTTGTTTCTTTAAATCTGTAAGAAATGAATATTGTACTTTGTTTAAAATTCTAGTATTTTTAGTTTTATCTAGCATTGCAAGTGAAGAACTACATTTACACTTTGCAGCAGAATAAATAATACCCTATCATGCATCAGACAGCCCCACCTCACCACAAACAAGAGCAAAAAGTACATTTGGCTGAAGTTCACAACGAAGAACTTTGACATCACGACACACCACCCAAATTCTCGAAAACAAAACAAGGTGATATATGTATCGAAGGCTTGAAAGCACCGAAAGTTGGAAGCTCTCTTCGACACGTCGGCGAGATACGATGCGAGTGGGTGTCGCTACTGTCTCCTAACACATTTCCCACCCCCAGTCTGCAATCCGATACTAGTCTGATACTAGTGGGTTTAGTGTTGCTGGAAAGTGGTTGTGTCGATAGGTTGAAATAAAGATTCGAATAAACGATGCAGTGAAATGCGTGCGGCAGCAGCCGATGGGGAAAACAACGTATTCATGGCTGCGGTGGGCCCCCACCTCCAGACATGCATCGCGGACACTTTGGCTCTCAGCTCGGCGGCGCGGTGCACCGCAGACAGGATGCGGAGTGAGATGTTTTCCATCGGACTTCCGGACATTGGGGGTGTTACTTCTCCTCCCCAGGCGCCAGCCAGACTCTAGGGAGAAACTTAAGGTAGCTGTTTTTATACTTCCACCCTCCACAACTCACATCCTAGTAGACACTTATATTTATCAATCACAAATACAAAGTGTTTTAAAATGTGCTAAACATTTAATTTTTTATATTAAAGTGATTTGGTAATCAGAGTTTGTTACAGTCCATTGAATATCATGCCAAATTAGCGTGATCCGGTTCATTTGTTCATCGACACATGCTGGAATTTTATTAATGACCGTTTTCCATAAAACACATTAATTACAAAAACTGCCAGCGCGGAAAGACCCGCTTGATTGCTGGATACAATATTGGTCTGAAAATAGAATAATCATTTAAAGGATTACAGTGTCATGAGTGCTGCGAATGTCTAGACGCAAAAAAGTTATGTGGGAAGTTAATAATTGCGTTCATTAGCAAAAGTAGACATTTTTCCTCTCCACATTATACGGGAGCGTTCAACCACTCTCCGGTACACAATAATAAATATTTCCTCTTAGCTTATAATGCCCAGAGCAGTCTCTCACACATTGTACCACAAGTCGTTTTCTTTTATATAATTTTTGCTCCCTTCGCTATATTACATCGCCTCCAAAGAAGGAAGTAACGCCCGGTTGTATTTGTAACGCATTTCAAAAATAACGAGGTAATATTTCGCCAGTGATTTCAGTATCTCGCGCACACACTCATGCCGCGACGTATTGTTTTTTCTTGCGGTCGTCGCGCATCTCGGCTGTAAATAATGTCCGCCGGCGCGCGTCCCAAACACCTCTAAGTCTTTGACGGATGGCGCTGTCCGGCGTAATCACGGGGGATCCACGGCGGGTTTTTGTAATTTTCCAAGTGGTTGTGCATCAAAAACCCTCTCCGCCCCGGCGCCGTGGCTGCTGACCGTTGTCCGTCTGACCGCCGCCATCAGACCATGCAGACTTTACGATGGAGTTGGAAAATGCTCTATTTGTTTTCGACATTGTTGGATTTCCTTGCGGGTGCCCACACTTATCCTTCTATCCATCCACGACTCTCTACCAAAGTGGCCTTCTTATTGAATCCGATATTACGGCGAGAACTTGGGCACAAACTGCTCAACCAAACCCTTGTGTCCAAGGAGAGTTTGAGTTCAAGTTCCAACTAGCTCATAAAATCTCGGACGGGTCTTATCTGCCTCTTTTTATTTGAGTGTTTGTTGCGTTTTATGTTTTGTGTTTTACTGTATGGTCTAGATAATCTGCGTCTAAGTGGCTCTTATAGTTGAGAATTTAGTTTGAAATCTACACAATTGCAGTCCACACTGAAAAATACTGCTATTCAGATGGACTCAAGGATATGAAAAAAAAAATTGAAATAGGCCTCACACAATGTTCAAAAAACTTTTTAAAATAATGAGAAAAGTTTACCGATAGCAAGCGAAGATGGCAATATTACGCGATTTGTATCATACTGATACCCGGACCACATTTCGCTTCTGTGACGAGTTTCAATTGAAAGTTTCATATAGGAAGATGCAGAGGACTGCCTCGAAAAAGGCAAATTGAATTTCCTCCGGCGGATACACGCCCGTATATACAATGAAACAAATAAAAGCGTGTAATAGAAATATCTATTATTCAGAAATATATTCTACAATATGTAGAATTTTCGAAACCAAGACAAGTTGCAAAAACTCTCTCTTTGTATTTTATATTGCATTTCTTTCCCCTTCACTTTTATCGGAAGAACAAACAAAAAAATATGTTGAAAGATTCATCAATTAAACAAGCTGCACTAGGACTCTGGAGATCAAAGATTCTGTCATTTCTGACAATTCTGATGCAGCTTTGCTCAGAAACAGATGAAGCTCAACTTAGAATAAAACACGGAAACGCGGAAACAAGCAACAGACTATGTGGGGAGGATGTAAGCCCAGTGCAACCACGCACACTAGAGACTATACACAGACATAAAAGCACGGAAGGCAAGGAAAAGAGCCGGCGCCTCGGGCATCGGAAAGTTTAATTGAAAAGCCTCGCGGCGCAGCGTCTTTGACTTAATATCTTTGGGCACCCTCCGATCGCAATTCCAGCTTCCGGCGCACGCAGTCTTCATATCTGCATCTGCATATCTGGGGATTGTTTATCACATGTTTAATATCCTTTGGAATATTTAGGGATAATTTGGAGATTGCCATGGTAGTTGTAATCTAGTCTGGCTTTTGTCATTTGATTAGATGGTCGTTAGCACTAGAATATGCCAAGCAAAGAAGGAGGATAACATTCAATTTGTAACATTTAGAATTTAGATAATAGACTATTATATATTCAGACTTGGTTATTAATTTTTTGTTATAAAATTTATGAATAATGTTGACATGGACAGGACATTTTCTTAATGTGCGACTGACTTAATGAGATTAAAATATTCCCTTATGAAGTTACAGTCAAAGTTCGTAATGGAGTGCAGTGAAGCAGAAAAAAAGTTGGTTAGAAAATTGTGCAACAGACTGTGAACATTCAAATTACATATAATTCAAGTTATTCCAACAAAAAAAAACGTACTAAAGTTAATCTAATCTAAAAAATGTTATAATATACATTATTAAAATATAAAAGCACAAGAAATAAATAGCGATGGTCTTAAAACTTATACAATTGCTCATTCATTCATTTTAAAGTGCTTGAAGCTTGCTGAATATGAGGCAAAAATGAAAATTATGAAAATGATGAAGGTATCTACAGTAAGTGGCAATATGTGTATGCCGGGTGCGTGATGCATGCAGTACATATTTTAATAGAACCTGTTAGATGATGAGAGGATGAAAGCCTCCGGGGGGATGCTCTGCATTGTGTCCGCGCGCAAGAAAGAGGACAAAACGAACGAGAATTTCCCGCACGAGCATAACGTATTAGGCACACGTGGAACGAAATGAAATGCGTGTGATAAATGGCCAGGACCTGGTTCACATGGAAACACCCGCATATACGCACTCTCGCTATTTGGGCCCGCATCGCCCTGCGTTTCAGGCTTGAACCCGGATACCCGGATGCCCGGATGCGTCTGGTGAAAAAGCGCACGCAAGGGATGACCGATCGTGTCGCTAAGTGCATTTTTCACATACTGAACGTTACTATTTTATATTTCAACATGGGTAAAATCTACGAGTGGGTGTAGTGATGTGGAGGCATAAGAATTGAGCTGGTTGTGAATTATGTGGATGCAAATACTGGAGGAACAGGACGATAAAGTAAATTTTAAAATAAAATTATAAAACGCACAATTTTTTTCGCAGTATTTGAATAGTGTCCAACTTTAAAGTTTTTTTTTAATCTTGTAATATATTGTCATTCTTAGTATTAGAGCTATTAAGTAAATAATAGATTCAATAAAAGAAAATGGTCTTGGCGAAAAGTATAAAAAAGATCTGAATACTCTTATCGCGGAATTTTCAATTATAACAAATCCGTCCGAAGCCGACTAGCGACCAATGCAAAAAGCTCGGCGTCGTCGAAGGTCGTGGACGCGTTAAGGGGCGCAGCAAAATTGCCATTTAATTGGATCCTTGTTCAATTTCAACAACGTGGGACCGCGTGTATTCAGATAAAGAAAATAATACTCGTCCAGCGCAGCGCTTTTTTAATAGAACCGGACCCTGAAATCCGCCCCATTAGCATCGGGCGTGTGATGCAAAGCGAAGACGAAGCAAAGCGGCAATTCGGCAATCCTTTTTGCTCCTTCGCTAAGAAAGGTCTCAAAGCGGCCGCGGCACGTAGCAAAACTTTCCGTATCTCGCCTCAACCATGCCTTTATGCTTTCTTATATAAAATATTCCGCTCGGATATTACAATTATTTTACTACCAACGCGACTCGCA